AAATGAAGTTAGCTGTGTGCAGGGCTGAGGGGAGATTTCTATGCAGGGAAAGCATCATGCTTGTAATTGGTCACACAATTTAATGACACTACACTTACATATACAGAGAAACTGTAATTTCTTCAATTTGCCTTTAGCTCTTATGGTCTATCTCTATGCCACTACCCACTGGCTGGGAGGGAAAGCTTCGTCCTTTCAGATAGAGTTCAATCTCTGTTGGATAAAAGTGTGCTTGCTCCATCTCTCAGATGACGTCCCTCCTCCTTCCTCTCTCCAGAAGATGGGACTGTCCGTACAGGATGAGGGATGGCTTATAACTCCTTGTGGGCAGGGAGAAGAGAGTGGTGGGTCTCTACTCTCTAGAGCCACGTGCCTTCATCTGCCTGGCTTTGGGGGCCCTGCTGGCCTCCGATGCTAGTATCTGCATCAGGTGAGCTTTGGGTCTGTCCTCCTTGTGCAAGCAGGGCTTTCTGTAGTTCCTCCCAGCAGATGAAGGCTGGGGGTGGCTTCAGCTAGAGCTCAGAGCACTCTGAGGTCTGGCTCGGACACCTATGCAGACCGGGCCCAGGTGATCTGCTCTGTGCCTCACTTCCCTTCCTGAGAACCCTCTTTAGAAGCTCTCCAGCCAGATTCTCAGGTACTTTTGGGTTTCTGGAAACTAAAGGTAAGGGTTTGGGGAAGCTCAACTTGAGCACTTCCTCTAGTTAATCTCTACACCTCAGGTAACAACAATGTGGCTCACCCCAGCCTGGACTGCAGCAGACGGGGCAGCGGCCTCCTCTGGAACGCCCGAATGGCAGCGGTGGGCATGTGAGGTAAGAGCTCCTTTCTGCCTCATTGTCATCTTCACTTTTAAAAGCCTCACCGAAACCGGTTTGGCTCAGTGGATAGAGCGTCAGCCTGCGGACTGAGTGGTCCCAGGTTCGATTCTGGTCAAGGGCATGTACCTTGGTTGCAGGCACATCCCCAGTGGGAGTGTGCAGGAGGCAGCTAATTGATATTTCTCTCTCATCGATGTTTCTAACTCTCTATCTCTCTCCCTTCCTCTCTGTAAAAAAATCAATAAAATATATTTTATTTTATTTATTTATTTTTTTTTTAATTTTTTTATTGCTTAAATTATTACAAAGAGTATTACATATGTCTCCTTTTTTTTTCCCCCGCCCTTGACAATCCCCTGGCCTCCCATACCCTCCAGTGTCTTATGTCCATTGGTTATGCTTATATGCATGCATACAAGTCCCTTTGGTTGATCTCTTACCTCCCCCCGCTCCAGCCCCCCCACCCTCCCCGGCCTTCCTGCTGTAGTTTAACAGTCTGTTTGAGGCAACTCTGCCTCTGTATCTATTATTGTTCAAGAGTTTATAATGGTCTCTATTATCCATGAATGAGTGATAAATAAAAAATAAATAAATAAAAATAATAAATAAATAAAAATAAATTAAAAAATAAATAAAAGCCCGTCTCACTCTCCTGTCTCTCTCTCTGTTCCATCTTTCCACAACTACCCCAGAATTGGAAAGGGTTTCCCTCGTTTCTGTTCTCTCTTATGTGAAACTCAACAGTGTGTCCCTGGGAATTCTCTCTCCATATGCTTAAGAAAAGTTAGAGCAACTCACATAGAATTTTCTCAAGAGATAGCCTGGGTCTTGCTACAAATTCCGATTTTTGAATGTTAAAAACTGAATATTACTAGTTACTTTCTTGCATTCCTTCTGGGACAAACCTTGATCTCACCACAGACAGAGGTGCCTCAAGCAGACTGGGGTGAGACATATGTTTAGATAGGCAAAAGAGGAAAGCATGTGGATAAAATTTTAAGTACTTCCAACAGTACTTGTAAGTACTCAATTACATGCGCCAGAACTCTGACTGAGAAAGAGTTGGGCACATGTAAGGAACTGGAAGAAGCTGACCTTGCTCTTTGGAGAGAGCACTAAGGGGTATAACAAAGGTATGGATCATTCAGCACTTACTGTGTGCCAGCACCGAAGACCGGAAGGAAAGCCCTTCCCAAGGGCTAGAGGAAGCCATTGAACAGAATACTGAGCAAGAGGGTGGCAGGACCAGATGTGCTTTCTGAAAGGGCCCCTCTGGTTGCAATGAGGACAATGGACCATAAGGAAGAGAATGAGACCAGAAGAGGGGAGTACAGCAAAGTGTAACTATAGGAGCCCAGGTCAGAGATGATGATTAAGACTGGGAAGGAGCAATTAAGATGGAATCTAAGGATATATATCAGAGAGACAGAGCTTTCTGACTAATTATAGGTGTGGGAGGGGGAGACAAGGAAAGTCTCAAGGATGAGCCTAAGATTTCTGGCTTGAACAGCAAAATAGATGCTGGTGACTTTCTAAGACAAGAAACTCTTGATAGAAAGCAGACTTCTGGGGATGGAGGAGGTGATGGAATTCCATTTTGGATATTTTGAGGACTAGCAGCCATCCCAGTATAGGTCTTCAGTACCCAATAATGAGCTTACTGTATATTTTCTGAGGTGAGAAATTCAAATAACATGTATTCTAAAACCTTTACATTCAGCTATAACCTTCTCTGATATTTGATTTAAACATAAAATGAGGACATTAATTTTCAGTCTGATTCGGCAATTTGTGGCTTTTATTCCTTTTACCCTTGAGAAGTTTCATTATGCATGCACCTCCATCCTCAGGTTTTTATTCATATGAAAACCTACACGTCATTTTAGGTGAATGGAATCCATGTCCTCTTACCATGGAGATTAGAAATATATGCATTATCTTATGTACAAAAAATATAGTATCAGATCTAGGAACACATTTAATAGGCAGAGGCCTTCTTTTCTAATTATTGCTAACAGTTAAGTCTTTAAGCCAATTAATCTGAAACAGAAGCTTCATTTTGTCAGCTTCCCAACTTATGACTACTTTATAACGATACTAGAGGCCCTGGCCTGCAGGATCGGGCCGAAACCAGCTCTCTGACATTCCCCGAGGGGTCCCAGATTGTGAGAGGGTGCAGGCCAGGCCAAGGGACCCCACCGGTGCACTATCAGGGCCTGGGAGGGACGCAGAGAGGTTGGCCAGCTGGGGAAGGGCATGTCCGGCCTGTCTCGCTCAGTCCTGATTGGCCAGACCCCAGCAGCAAGCTCACCTACCAGTCAGAGCATCTTCCCCCTGGTGGTCAGTGCAAGTCATAGCGACTGGTCGACCTGTCGACTGTCTGCCCTGTGGTGGTCAGTGCATGTCATAGTGAGTGGTTGAGTGGCCTTAGCATATCATTAGCATATTATGCTTTGATTGGTTGAATGGCCAACTGGACGACTGGACACTTAGCATATTATGCTTTTATTATATAGGATCACATAAAAGGTCATCTTATTAATTATCTATGTATATGTTTTTAATCTAGATTATTTCAAAGGGTATCCCAGGAAGCTGCATTTCTCAAAGCTACTGGTTTACCAAGTTTTTCTTTCATGCCTGAGAAGCTGTTTACTTACACTTGTTTTAATAATTTCCATCTAGGCTATATATGTTGTAATCATTTTTTAGAGCAAGAGAATTTATGAAATCTCCAGTTTAATATTAAGTTCTCCATTTGGGTCTATTAAAGTAAAGTTAGGGACCTGCCTATGGAATAGTGAAGAGTGTTTTGATGTGTGTGTGTGTGTGTGTGCTTCAATTTCAGGCACAAGTTCTTATTAGTATCATAACCCAGCCAGATTGTCAAACACACAGCTTTAAACTCAACTAGAACACACACTAGCTGTATCCAACTTATTAATCAGGAATTAACTGTCAAACTCACAGCTGCTGGGTAGTTTTCAAAAGCTCAGCTGAGGAAAAAAGAGGAACACACATGGTTGTCTGAAGGATATGCTATCCATCCATTCCTTTCTAGAGACTATAGTCTGAAATTCATTTCTGGGATCAGCCAGAGAGCTACATACGTGGATATTAAAACAATTAATTTCTAAAGTTAATCAATGGACTTCCCTAAGCTTCAGTTTCCCAAATTCAAAACGAAGAAAGATTCATTCATTCAATGATCACTCTTTGAACTATTAATATCCAAAGCACTAGAATAAGACATAGTCCCACCCCTCAAAGACCCGTCTAACTATCTTTCTAAGTATCTTTTTCTATAACCCAAGAGATAATTATAATTCTATGTGATAAACACAAAAATGGAGACATATGCTGGGTACAGAAGCACAAGGAAGGACACCTTACACAGCCAGAGTGCAGGGGAAGGGAAAGGGAAGAATGCTGGGAGAATACTGAGGTATCTTAGAATAATTATGCTCACCCTCACAAGATTAGAGTATGAGTAGGGATCAAATGAGAGAGGTTGGCTATGAAACAGAAACTCCAGGTTGGCTTATTAGTAAATAGGAAATTTATTATCTCACGTGAAAAAAGGTCCAAAGCTAGGGCAGGCTCCAAAGTTGGTTAATTTAGGGGCTGGATTATATCATCAAAGACCCTTGCTCTTCCCTTCCTCAGCTCTGCCTTTCTCAGGGTTGGCTTTCCACTTGGCATGAAGCACTACAGGACTGAATAAGGTGCCTGCAGCAGTACAGGCATCACAACAGACACAGAGAGTCCGGAGGAAAACGGAGACCGTCTTCCCCTGTGCTTCCTTCTTAGGAGGGAAGAAAATTTCCCAGAGACCTTTGAAGATTTCCCCTAACATTTCAAAATCCTGGATTTGGGCACATGCCCATCTGTAAAGCAATTACTAGTCAGGGCTGTGGGATTAGGTGTAGAATAATCAATGGGGTGCCATCCATTTTAGAGAATCAGCCACATACACTGCTACAGCGGTGTACGGACACAAGCTAGCTGACGTGAAAGTCACTCTTCAAGGAATCTCTCATCTGCCAAATGTTTAAAAATCTGCACTTTCTAACCTCAAGGAGATACAGCCCTTTTTTCTACTTTCAATGCCTAGAAAGCAAGGCTAATATTAATGATCAAGTTGTATCACACTATTCATGAATTTCAAATAAAACTTACCAAAATCTACAAGTTTAACTCCGCCTTCTGTGGTCAACAGGATGTTATTTCCTTTTACATCACGATGGATGGTTTTGTTGTTATGCAAATGTTGAAGTCCCTAGAAGGTAGAAAATATCTCCTTTTAAAGAAAGCACCAGCCCGTGGTGTGGCTCAGTGGGTGAGTGTCAACCTATGAACCAGGTTCATCCCTGGTCAGGGCACATGCCCAGGTTGCAGGACTCAATCCCCCATGGAGGGAGTGTAGGAGGCAGTAGATCAATGATTCCTTCTCATCATTGATGCTTCTATCTTTCTCTCCCTCTCTGAAATCAATAAAAATATATTAAAAGAAAAGAAAGCATCAAACAAAAACATTTTCAGATGATTGCATTTGTACAAAACCTATAAGAAACACAGTGAAAATTAAGATTCAAGCATTCTTAAATGTTTAATATTGAATTAGTCATATCAAGTTATATCACTTTCACTTTGGGCTATATAAAAATTCCAAAAAGCAGAGCATGCCCTTAACTCTCATCAAATATTTTATTGAAAATGTGTTGATCTCAATAAAAGAAAATGCTTATATACTTATCCTATCTAATAATAGACAAACATGGTAATTGACCGTACCTTCGCTACGCTTCCATTGGCTAATCAGGGTGATATGCAAATTAACTGAAAACAAAGATGGCGGTTAACTGCCAACAAAGATGGCGGTTAATTTGCATATGTAGGCACAATGCTGGGAGGTGAAAGGGGAAGGACGGAAGCCGCCTACCGCTGACGGTGATCGGAAACCCAGGTGGCAGACAAGAGCTGGGTGGCAGGGCCACCTTTACCCTGCCCTCCAGCCCGTGATCGGAGAAGCTGGGTGGGGCGGGGAAGAGGCGACCACTGGCAGCCGCCTCTTCCCTGCCACCCCCCCCCCCCCACCAGTGATCTGTGATCAGAGAGGCCGGTGTTCAGAGAAGTACCTGTATTTTTTTTTTCAAAGTACCTGTATTTTTAATAATTTCTTGATGTGGTAAAAGAATTTTACATTACGATCCAAGGGTGGTGGGGTGAGGAGAAGGAACAGCAGAACAATCCAACAAACAAAAGGGAAACAGAAATGCATGGTGGAAGGGATTTGAAGGGTGGGTAGGGGCATTGCCCAACTAAAATGCAATTGGTTTGTTACTGAGTACTATTCATGGGAAGACAGCATCCTGAATCCTTCTCTATACAGTACATTAGGAGTAAAAATGATGCATCCAGGTGGAAATATGATTAGGGGTTGGAAGACAGACATGGAAAGAAGAAGTCAGAAATAGACACTGAGAGAGTCACTGGCTGGCTGGCTGCAAATACTGACTCTCCAGTAGTGATAGAATAAAAAAGTGGGGGAAATCTCTGGAAGATTCAAGAGATAGGGGGCAACTCTTCTATGGTTTTGACTTGCCCAGCAGATTTCCACATACACACATGTACACGCCTATGTTTGCATGCACACACATATACATATAACTGACTGCCTTCCCTGGAAGCACAGAAGAAGAAGAAGCCGCCAGAAGAAGAAGCCACCCACCTTTGGTCCAGGCACCAGCGCCTGCGGCTGGCTGCAGCCCAGGAGATGGACAAGCCACCCGCCCGAGGTCCCAGGCTGCAGTCACCCGGAGAAGTTGCCAGCCCCTGTGGTCCAGGGCGCCAGCACCTGTGACCAGGGAAATAGGTTCCCTCTTCTCTTACTGCAGTCATTACTTCAATATTCCCCTTCTGAATTTCTCTCCTGTGCTGCAACCCAACTCCACTTTTCATTGGAAGGATACGGAACAGGGAGAGCAGTGTTAAAAGCTTACATTTTTAAGCCGGTAAGATTGGTACTTAAACATATAAATGGAAAACTAGAGTCCTTAAGGTAACAAAGGCTACAAAGGACAGGGACAGCGTAGACCTATTATATCCAGCAATCCATATGGGGACTGAAAACTTTGTAATGGTGACAATTAGTGAAGATATGAATCAACTAAAATAATTGACAGGGACAATTCTTCCATCTTTGAAAATATCTACATCAAATCTGTTTAAATAGATTTTCATCTGCATAATATAACACATTCTGACAAGACCACCACCACCACCAATGTGGTCAGTGTTATGCTGATAAATGTTTAATAACTGAGGGACCCTCCCCCCCCCGCACAAATTTTTGTGCACCGAGCTACTAGTTTTAAATAATGGCAAATAAAAACCTAACTCTTAGTAAAAAATACACATCATCTACCTCATCATAATCACAATCTCAGAAATATACTTAGGAGATCAAAACTCAAGGTTCTGTTGACAAAAGGAGGGTAGATTTCCAGTGGAAAAAAGGAATTAGCTGTGCTAAACATTTCAGATTTTGGATATGTACTCTTGCATTAATAAATTCTAATGTATTATTTTTCTAAAAATAGGATCCACATTTTCTATTTAACGAGAAATGCCTCAAATAATTAATGCATAAACAATTTAAATTGCCTTACCATTAGTGCTTCACGTAAAATATAGGCAATTAAGGACTCATTCATTCTTTTCCCCTTTTTCAGAAATCCTTTCACAAGATCAGTCACTGATCCTCCATTGCACAGCTATAAAAGAATATTTTAAGATCGATATTAAAATGAATATGACATTTTAAGGACTTGCTATAAAAGTTTCTACAAAACATTTTTTAAATTATCCAATTTTTGTTTCAAATTATTATTTTCATCATCCTTATGGTTTCATAAATAAATGAACATATAAACTTATAACTACTTTACAATTACTTATTGGAACACAGTTTTCATGAGTTAATTTTTAGAAGAGAATCTGAAGCACTGGACCTGATTCTTAAATTCAAGGATAAGAATCATGATTCTACAAATTAGTCCCACCTTTTAGTATCTAGGGCTTAAAAGCATTCTTGATTTCTGATAGCTTAATTAATAGTGCAATAGGTTCCATGACTTCAGTACATGGCTACATACTGTTTTACATGTGCATTAATTTAAAAACATGACTTCTTTCTGGAAAATTGCAGAATGCTTTGAAGTAAGGATTACAAATAATATTTTATAGGAAACTGTTTTAAATATCATGTTTTCCATGCTCTTTAGCCTCTTCCCCCCACACTCCCCCCACCTGCAAAGTAGAGGACTCTAAATGGAAAAGCAAAAGGGAAGAGCATGGTAGGAGAATTTTTCACATCCACGTTCTCTAAAGTTAGGAAACATGAAACCCCACAGAAAATTCTCAAAGGAGCTGCATATTTGCAGAACATAGAAACACTGATATTAGCAGTGGAATATGAGACAGGAGATACCCAGGCAAATGACCTCAGAATCAACAAAGCTTTGATACATGAACACTGGATCCCCTCATCTCTGCCCCTTTAGCCTTTGTCTTCAACCTGCCTCTTCTCTGGGGGCTCTCGCCCATATTCTCCTTACCTTGACCCATGAGGCCTCCGCTCCTATCTGCCTTGGTATCCACAAACTCCTGGAAAGTGAAAGAGCCATAATTTCCCTGATTCTACTAACCTAAATGAGGCAGAGGAAGGAGGTGAGAGGAAGTATATTCCTAGCATCCTAGTTTCAAACACTGAACACATTTTCTCACAAACCTTTCTCTACCGTGATAATTAGGTTTTACTGGATGCCTGAACACTTGGAATACATTATGAATTAAATAAGTGATAATAAATATGCTTTGTACCAAGCATATTTCAAATCCATTTACAGTATTATCTCTATGACTCACCACTCTCTAAAATAGGCATTATTATCACGTCCATATTAAAGATTGGAAAACGGAGACACAAAATAGTAAAGTAACTTGCAAAAGGTCACGCAGTTGTGACAGACTAGTTTGTGGACTCAGACAGTCTAATTATAGAGTTGAACTTCACACTTCACCATGATCCCCCAATAGGTTTTATGGGCTGGCTGGTTGATCTAACCATCACGTATACATTGTTTCTCTAAGAGAATGTTTTAAAATCTAAACATGAACTTACAAATGAACATTTAGATGGAACCCCATTTATAACCAGTGTCTTTCTACATTCAGAGAAATTTTTTTTCCAGCTTATGCAGTAGGTACAGTCCTAACATTCCAACACCTGCATTTTCTTCTGTATCCAGTCCTCTAACTGGATAGACAGAAAAGGGTTCTGCCCTGGCAGCAGAATACAGTGTTACAGTGCCTCCATTGTGGCCCAGCATAATTAGTTCATAACATGACTCACAAATTGCCCTAGCGGTTTGGCCCGGTGGATAGAGTGTTGGCTCTCAGACTGCAGGGTACCGGGTTCGATTCTGCACAAGAGCACGTTCCTTGGTCGCAGGCTCAATCCCTGGCCCCTAAGGCAACCAATCAATGTGTCTCTCTCACATCGCTACTTCTCTCCCTCTCTCTGTCTCTCCTCCTCCCTTCCATTCTCTCTTACCAAAAAAAAAATAAATAAATAAAAAATAGCAATGGAAAAAATATCCTCATGTGAGGATTAACTAAAAAGGTTCAGAATTGACTGAAAAGAAATTAGAGCCCTTTAAATTGCAAGGAACTTATTGAAAAGAACCAAGTCTCAGGACCAGTTTGAAAATTTCTGAAAATAATTGCAGAGCGACTAAAAGTTTTTCCTGTTTCTCCAAAGTGTGCCTCTCTTTGGATGCACCTTCTGTGCTTGACTATTATGTTAATGCAAGAGTAAACAGATAGAATGTCCCAGGGGGAATAAAGAAACCCAAAGAATGCGTAGTAAATAAAATTTTAAAATGCAATCATACAATTTGCACTAAGCAGTTCAGATTTTACTTTCTGATATCAATTTTTATTTAAAACAGGTCTTTTCCCCATCTATTATAGGTTAGAATACAGAATTCCATGTATTGTATATATACTATATATAATATATACTTTACTTTTTAAAAAGTAAGGTATATTGAAGAGTAAGTTGCATTATAATAAAATTCACCCAATTTAGTGCACGATTCTGAATGTTGACAAATGTATTAGTCACATAATCACTACCACAATGGAACAAATCCATCACACAAAAATCTTCCTTTATGTCTCTTTGTAGTCAAGTTCTTTTCCTAGCTCCTGGCAACTACCAGCCTGGTTTCTGTCCCTACAGATTTTGTCATAGAAATTGAATCTTAAGATGTGTAGCCCATTAAATCTGGCTTCTTTGACCTAGCATAATAAATCTGAGATTCATCTATGTTGTTGCACATTACTTTTTAATTGTTGTTTTAATAATGTCGTTTATGCCCTTTTTTGATGTTGAGTATTCTATTGAATAAAGGACTATTTGTTTAATCATTCACAATTGAAAGACATTTGAGTTGTTTCCAGTTTGGGGAAATTATAACTACTAAACATTCACATATAGGTTTTTGTAAGAATACTAGAGGCCTGAGGCACGAAATTTGTGCAAGAGTAGGCCTTCCTTCCCCCCCCCTCCCCCGCTGCCGGCACCGGCTTCCCTCTGGTACCCAGGACCCAGGCTTCCCTCCGGCCACCAGCAGGCACCTGGGACCTGGGCTTCCCTCACAGCCCAGCTTCGTCTTGAAGGTCATCCAGAAGGACGTCTGGTCTAATTAACATATTACACTTTTATTATTATAGATGGTTTTCATTTATCTTAGGTTAATACCTAAGAGAGGGAATGGCTGGGTCCTATGGGTCATATATTTGACCTTCTAAGCAACTGCCAAACTATTTTCCAGAGTGGCTATCACATTCTGCATTCCCACAAGCATTATATAAAATTTTTCTCCTATATTTTCTTGAGGAAGTTTTATATGTTTAGATTTTAAATGTAGGTAGTTCTATGATGCATTTTGTGGTAATTTTTGTATATGGTGTGAGGTATGGATTATATATGGATGTCCAATTGTTACAGCACACTTTTCTACTAGTCCAAAGTGTCCAAGAAACAGAAGATACAACTCTGAGTTGAGTTTAAAATCTAGCTGCCAACATCAAAAGAAGGGGAACTTTAAGTGTTCAGTATATTATTAAGTGAAAAAGGCAATCTGAAGGCTACATACTTGACATTCTAGAATGTTCTTTAATCAAACAAAATTAAAGTATAATTTTCTTAAACCAGAGCTAGAGTTATAATACAGCATAATACAGCAGCACTGTACTTAAGCTGTAGTCACACATTAAAAAAGAAATCCTAAATCAAAAGGGATGACATTCTATAAACAGATCATTATAACTAACTTCCAGAGACAGCCTTTATAATTTTTCTAAATGTATTCTGTCTTTACCATGTTAGAAGAGGATATAAGATTTTTATTCAAATTTCTGATAAAGGACTACTTATTTCTGCAGTTGGCAATTCTGTCTTGTGCTATTTTTCAATTGCGTTTTGTTTAAGAATGCTCAAAGGTCATTTGGTTAGTCTGACAATATTCTATGAAAGGCCAGTAAAGCAGAAACTATTATTTTCTTCTTCTTTTTTTAATAAATGAAGGGAGGTTTTTTATTTTTTTTAATTTATTTTATTGATTACAGAGAGGAAGGGAGAGGGAGAGACAGGAACATTAATGATGAGAGAGAATCATTGATTGGCTGTCTCCTGCATGCCCCTTACTGGGGATCGAGTCCACAACCCGGGTCTGTGCCCTGACCGGGAATTGAACCATGACCTCTTGGTTCATAGGTCAATGCTCAATCACTGAGCCACACCAGCTGGGCAGAAACTCTTATTTTCTAACACTCATTCTAGTTTTTACTTTGCTCATTTTATAAAAGTGCTCTCAACACTCACGTTTAAGTACTTTTGTAGAAACTAATCTTTAACAAATGCTCACTAGTAAAAATTTTGTATCCATTATGTTAATGCAAGAGTAAACAGCTTAAAATGCAATCATACACTTGGTAAGTGTATGTGTAATGTTATAAGACACTGCTGTACTGTTTCTAAAGAGTGTTTTACACTGCCTAGGCAATGCGTAAAAGTTCAATTTGCTCTGCAACTTCAAAAATATTTGGTATTAATAATCTTTTTAATTTTAGCCATTTTAGTTTTGATGTACTAGTAGTCTAAGTATGGTTTTAATTTGAACTTCACTAAAGATATTGAACACATTTTATATATATATACTTTTGTGAAGCGCCCAAATTTTTTACTCACATTTTTAAAAATTGGGTAGATACACTTTATTAGGTGAAATTTCTGTCTATTCCTAGAGTTTACCACAAATGGATGTTGAATTTTGGCACATTTTTAATGATTTTCTTCTCTTTCTCTTAACACAGTGAATTATGATGCAGTGAATTTTAATGTGCAAACAATTTATTGTAATAAACTTGCATTCCTGGGATTAATACTACTCAGTTATGATGTATTAACATTTTTATATCTTACTGGATGTGATATGTTAACATTTTGTGAAGGATTTTTGCATCTATGTTCATGTGGAATGGTAGAATATAGTTCTCTTTTTTTGCAATATCTTTATATTCTTTTGTCAGCATAATGTTGGCCTCATAAATTAGTAAAAAGACTTATCTCTTTACTAAATATTTCATATGATTTTTTTTCCAGAATGGTTATGTGAGGAACTCTTAGACCCATTCTTTAGTGAAA